TCCCCCTGGAGTTTCTACTTCTCAGAGTGGTCCACACTGAGCCTCCAGCAACCGGTCAGTGTCAGAGCTACCAACAAGAGGGGTAAAGATGCCCGGCCGGGAGGAAGGGCTCAGACCGCTGTGCTGGGCAGCTGGGCCACTGTGGCTGGGGCCACAGGGGCTATGTGTGCAGTGGTGACAACCTCGCAGGCTCTCTGAGGGAGTCATGCAAAGAGCCTGCCACGCCCGCCTGACCTGTGATGGAATCCAGTGTCCTGGGCTCGGCGCCTGCTGGCACGAGAGGAAAACCGCTCTTGTCAGCATCTGCCATTGGCTACACTTTTGCACGCTATTTGTTCTGGAAGAATGTGCAAGAGTGAAAATGCGTACTAACTAAAGGCAGGAGCCAGCACTGCCTCGGAAATTCAGATGACAGAGAGATGTGGAGAAAACCCTAGGCAAGGTGTTGGGGTGTCGGGGGAGAACAGGAGGTGAGAATCAGTGCAGGAGTGTGAAAGAGCCAGGCGGTGAGTGCCAGGGCCCAGCAGCCCTGTTCTTAGAGTTTGTTTCGTTTTGACTTTCTGTCCATTTTAACTTATTAGTCACTGACCTCCACGTATATGCCAAGTGCTGGACTAGGAGCTATTGAGTGAATGATTTTTTTTTAATGTTTATTCATTTTTGAGAGAGACAGAACATGAGTGGGGGAGGGGCAGAGAGAGAGGGAGACAGAGAATCAGAAGCAGGCTCCAGGCTCAGAGCCTTCAGCACAGAGCCTGACGCAGGGCTTGAACTCACAGAAGGTGAGATCATGACCTGAGCCAAAGTCTGTCACATAACTGATTGAGCCACCCAGGAGCCCCTATGATTTTTAAAAGGCAATTTCAGCATGTGGAATGGATGCAGACCTGGGAGCATTCACCTCTCTGGACCAGGCCTCAAGGAGGGAGTGGGTAAGGTCATGGAGCCCCTTAGGAGGTCAGAATTTCCAGGAAACAGACAGATCCAGGAATTTGGGGGGTGGCTACAGTGTCCCCAGGGCCACGGTGGGTGGTCTTCTAGTGTTCAGGGAAGGCCCAGGGAGGTTGGGGGTCATAAACTTGGCTTTATGGGATGAACAGGAGTGAGGCAGGCAGGCTGTGTGTGTGTATGTGGATGTGAATGTGCGTGTGCACAGGCATGGGTACATGTGTGGTGGGGATACCCAGAGAGCCCTGGAAATGAAGCTACAGAGGCAGGGCAGTCTGGGCATCAGGAGAGTCCACAGGAAAAGGCTCCAGGGGACAGCCTCAGCAGGCTGTGGAAGGCAGGGTGAAGGGCAGAGGCTGGCCTGGTGTGGGTCGGGCCCAACCGCAGAAGAGGGAATTACAGTAGGCAGTGGTAGACTGAGGTCATAGACTGTGGTCAGAACACAGGCTCGGCCGAGGAACTGTGGCCTGGTTGGCAGGTTCTCAGCGCCCGTGCCACATGCTGTTCCTCTGTGTGCAAAGCTACAGTGGTGACTTCCCAGGCACAGCCCCCACAGTGCCCTGCCTGCACACACCCCTCAGGCTGGCCCTGCTGGCTCTTGGGTCTGAAAGCCTGTGTCCATAGCCTGGCTGTGCCCTCCTCAGTGCCTGGGAGGCCTGGGGTACATCGTCCCCCAAGCCTGCAGTGTTTCATCTGCAAAACAGGTAAGAAAATGCCCATGAGACCAGGCTATGGAAAGGTGACCCACACAAGGCCCTACCACAAGGCTCAGCACGTGGGTACTGATATCCTTGTTATGTTATCAGAAGCCAAAACAGCAACTGTCTGTAAAGGAGACTTTGGAGATTACCAGCACTCGCAGGTCAGGTCTACTGTGATAAATTCTGTTCACAACAGCAGCCACAGTCACCACCATTCTTGGGCATGATGCCAAACCCTTATTCTCTCGTTCATCACGTGACCCCTGCGAAGCCACTGTTATTATTCCCATTCACAGATGAGAAAACTGAGGCTCTGCTATACTGTGTACCTCCTCAAAGCCCACAGGTATTGGAGGTGGGATCAAATCCAGTATGGAGATATGAAAACATGCAGAACCTCACTTAGAATTACAGAGGCACGTTCAAAAATGGCAACCTGTTTCACTTACTAGATTGGCTAAGAGGTAAACCACACAGGGTGAATGGGGCGGAGGGAAATAATGACTTTCATGGGCTACTGGTGGGTATTAGAAATTCATGTGACTTTTTAGAGGGCATTTTTTTTTTTTTTTTTTTTTTTTTTTTAGTATCTACAACATTTTGAATGTTCACACTCTTTGTCCCAGAAATCAAATTTGTGTGTGAGGGCATTTGCTCGAAATTTATACAAACACATGTATTTATACCTATTCGTGTAAATACATAAAGCCTGCTTACAAGGTTTGTCATGGCTGCATTGTGTCTGTTTTTTTTTAATCAAATAAAGATTGTCCATAACCTAAATGCCCATTGGTGTAGGGACTGGTTAAATAAAATAACCAATTTATTTATATATTCATACAATGCCCTGAGAAGAATGAGTTAGTCTATATTTGACGATGAAGTATAATCTTCAACATATATTCTTATGAGAAAAAAGCAAGATGAAGGAGAATATATAAAGTGAGTTTTATTTTGTAAAACAGAAAGTAGCTGTGTATACACATAACACTTTAGAAGGATTCTCATAAATTGATAAATTGCTCTGGAGGTGGGATGGTATCTTTCTCTTTCCTATTATTTACTCTTGATTTATTGTTCAAATTTGTTCTTAGCTTGAGCTTGCTGGGCTCACTGTGGCCACACAGTCTCTGGAAGGTGTTTTGGTTGGGGCTGCAGAAGGCCATTTGATATATGAATATCTGCCATGCAAAGAGGGAAACTGATCTGGGGTGCCAACCTCCCTGCACTGCCTCTTCCTCCTCGTTATCGATGGGCTCACGTGTTTCCATTGCAAACACAGAATGCCTCTTACCCCACACCCCTCTGTTGCCCAAATACCCAGGAATAATTGCCCAACCCTAGACACCCTTGGAAAGGTCCAGCTGCTGATTGTGCCAATGCCTTGTGACTCCTCCCGCCATGGATATATCTGGAGCCGTTGGGCAACGTCTGAGATGGAATTTCACTTGGCACTTAATGCAACCCTTTCCGCTTCTGCCGGAGGCAGTGAATTCTGAATAAAGTCGACAAACCTGACCATCTCCTCACTGAGCAATCACCCCTTCCATCCAAGAGCAAGGCAATGGATTTCTGCACATGACTCCTACGCAGTAACTGTGGCACTCTGGCTTACGGGAGTTGGCTGAGACCAGAGGGTAGGGGACAGGCCTGG